ACAATCGACCCTACACAAAACCACCGTCATTTTGTCTTCCTTGTCCTTGTTCGGCAAAAACAAAAAACTTGCATATTTACTATTTGTTTAATGAGTGCATTTTTGTTTAAAAATATCAAACAATAATAAACACCAAGTAAAATAGGAATCAACTGCTTTGTTTTATTTGAGTAAGATGGAAACTGTGCGAAAACAAATGTGAAACATTACTGTCTGCTCGAGAAGACACTGGAGTCGTGTGCAAAGAGATTGTTTACAAATTAGATCACATTGGAAGTGCTTTCAGTAACGTTGTGTAGCTCCAATGCGTAAAATAGAAAATTTATATCTTGAATAAAACTGACAAACTTCCTTGCTGTTGCTGTCGGGTGTCTGCATTATACATGGATTAAGTGTAGACGCGGGGATTCAGCTTTCCTTTTCTCTGCTCATGGCGTTGCAATAGCAGTGAAGGTCAGTACTGGGTTGAACCAACAGCCATGATCACAAATAATTTTTGAACCCAATAGTAGTGATCACTGTGATTATTATATAGATTTCTTGCAAAGTCTGGAACGATACTGAAAAAAAATCGTTGATTTCCTTCTATATTCATGCTTGAAAGTAGGCCGAAGTATCCGCAGGTGAATACGAGTATCCAGATAATAAGTTAGGATCGATCAGTTCACACGAATTGTTCTGTTCTGATTCATCATTGCAAAACAATGGCCTGGAAACGACCCAGCTTGAGGGAAACAGTATCGTGGAAAGAAAGAACAGTATCAGACCAGATACCCTTAAAAGACCTGATGAGAACACTGCAGAATCACGGGCGAAACAAAAGTTACGCGGCTATTGTCTAAGCGACACAGGTCCGAGGAGAACACTGTACATGTAACTAGCACATTTACGAATCGAGATTGGCAGAAAGTTGTACGGCATCTGTCTTCGATTTTGTCTATTGATGAATATGACGCACAAAGTGATATTGAACTTGCGTTCATGAAAATCGAAAAGGGTACTGCCTTTTCGTCAAACTGAAAAAATGGCAGCGTATCTCTTGTAACTGCGCATGCGTACTCCCATACTCGCGTACTTTTGATGTTTTTAGTCGCTGTATCTCAAATAACATCCATCATGATATAATAAATCATTATATACTAAAATTCGCAAATTTGCAGACCTTCCAATGAAATATTATCATTTTTTTTTTGCGACAGAATACGTTATTGCAATATTCAAATTAGGCTACTCACCCTAGTCAAATATTTGTTAAGAAACTTTAAAGACTCTAAGTTATAAATTAACAAGCCATGCATGGCACAGTCCCCGTTAGTTATCAAAGTTAAAATAAATAGTTTTGTTGATAGTAATATGGCTGGAATATAACCATGTCAGGAATATGATTTTTCAACATTACAATTGACATTTGTATCTGATCGTCAAACAAGTACTTGTCCATATTGAGAGATATTGCTCTGGAATAGCATTCAAAATCAGCCATTTTGAATAAATGTATATATATAACATGATGTATAACGAATATATAAAATTTGAATATAATCAGTCAAAGTATTTCAGAGATATGGCTCTAGAAGCCCAATCACTAAAACAAAATGGCCGCCAGTCAGCCATTTTGAATCCAATCTGAAAAATAAAATGACGTGGACCAGGAACCCGTAATATTTAATGTATGAACCAAGTTTGAACGAAATCCATCCATAAATGCCAGAAATGCTTGATATTTGATGATTTTTTAGCACAAAAATGACCACCATTTGGCCATTTTGAATAGGATCATCAAACCAATATATCTGTCTATCTATGACATGATGTATAATGAATATTTAAAATTTGAACATAATCAGTGAAAGCAAGTCAGAGATCGATATGGCACGAGAACCACATTCATTAAAACAAAATGACTGCCAGTCGGCCATTTTGATTCTTATCTGAAAAACAAAATTATTTGCATCAAGGTCCCATAATGTCTAATGTATATACCAAGTTTGAACAAATTCCATCTGTAAATAGCAAAAAAAAGCTTGATTTTGATGATTTTAAGCACAAAAATGGCCGCCATTCGGCCATCTTGAATCAGATCGTGAAACAAATTGACGTGCATATGTATAATATCATGTATGATGTATGTGTGAAGTTTGATTGTGATTGGTCCAGGCATTTCTAAGATACAGATACTGCGTCTGAACGGGGACTAATTAATGCAATACCGTTAAAGTAATATATATTACAATGTATCAATTTAAAAATTAGGATCAAAAGCTCAAGTTCGGGGTGCGGTTTCTATTACGTACATATTGCAATCACTAAATGGGCGTGGTCATTTTTTGCCCACAACACTTGCACAAAACAAACAATACACCGTACAATCTCTTGAATAGGCGTCAGGGAAGAGTGAGAGGCTTTACTTTGGTTCTAAAATAGGCGTTACGAAATGTTACAGTTACACACTATATTTAATGTAATAAATTTTTTTTTAATTTTCTTATTAACGAAAAGAAGATTCTGACAGAAGTTTCAAGTAAAAACAAACACGAATGCACTGCTTAGTAGCAAATGATCACAGAACGGTAGCGCAATCCGGCCATGCTGTGGTTCACAAGTGAATAACTTACTTGTTTTCGAAGTTTTAAATTGGCAATTATTATTCATTAGTGATTACAATAATGCACGAAAAATAAATCCGTTGAATTGTTATGAAATGCAAGTAGTTTCACCATAAACCATAGTCTATGCGTAAACGAATGATTTCAGTAACATGTAAACGGTGATACGATACCGGCCATGTTTTGAATGCACACGTGACGTTTTATTGACCGATAGTCATGTCGCTAATTAACCAATCAAAAGC